AACAGGGGTGGATCACCTGATCTGGACTTGTAGTTGGTGATCTGGGACCTTTTCAGAGCTGCCACAGATAGTTTGGATGAATACACGGACACTGACGTCATACATTCACTTCTGTGAGGATAGCATCATTCCAGGGACCAGGGTCATCTATAACAACGACAAACCCTGGTTCACTGCTAAACTCCGGCAGCTCAGGAAAGCAAAGGAGTCTGCTTTCAGGGAGGGGGACCGCAGCGGCTACAAAGCAGCTAAATATCAGTTCAGGAAAGAACTGAAAGCAGCCAAGTCCCGGCACAGAGAACGACTACAGGAGCAGTTTGGTAACAACGATACTGCTTCTGTCTGGAGGGGCCTACGGGAGATCACCAACTACAAACCCAAAGCCCCCCCCTGTCAGATTCAGATTCAGATTCAGATTCATTTATTAGCCATGTGCAGTATAAAAACTACATTGGAATACATTTGCAAAAAAAGGTACTCTGTGTGCACCGACAGAATAAAAAGCACGATACAATGTAATATAAAATACACATACACTGAATATAAAATAATAAAAAAACAGCTGACACTGTGGCACTGATCAACAAAACGATACAAGGGGTAAAAGCAGGAATTAAAGTGCTCTGTTTAGGCACCTAACAGCCTGTGGAAAGAAGCTGTTAGCATAGCGAGATGTCTTGCATCTCAGAGACCGATATCTTCTGCCAGAGGGAAGAAGCTGGAACATGGCTTTCCCAGGGTGGCCAGAAGAGTCATTGATGATTTTAAGAGCTTTGTTTCAAAGTCTGGATTTATAAAGAACCTCCAGAACAGGAAGCTCACAGCCCACGGTCCTCTTTGCAGAGCGGAGCACCTTGTTTAAAGCTCTCTTTTCTTTATCTGTGATGTTTCCAAATCACACAGACACAGAACCAACAAGTAAACTCTCAATGGTGCAGCCATAAAAGTTAAGCACAATCTTAGAGTTAGTGGTAAATTCTCTAAGTTTCCGCAAAAAGAAGAGCCGCTGACGTACTTTCTTAACAACCCGGTTAGTATTTTTGTCCCATTTCTTCAGGTTAGACAGAGTTAAACCCAGAAACTTGCTCCTCTACGATCTGCACCTGGGAGTTGTCAATAACAACAGGAGTGTGAGAACTGCTACGACTGAAGTCAAAGACAAGTTCACATGTTTTTGCAGTGTTCAGCTGGAGATTGTTTACTTTACTCCACTGAAAAACATGTTCGATCTCTGCTCTGTAAGAGGAATCATCAGTGTCACTGATGAGACCGATGATGGTGGTGTCATCAGCGTATTTGATGATCAAGTTAGAGTCAGAGGAGGACACACAATCGTGAGTGTACAAAGTAAAAAGCAAAGGACTCAAAATACATCCCTGAGGAGAACCAGTGCTCACAGAAACAACATCAGAAAAACACTCTCTGAGATCTGTCAGTTAAAAAGCTAAAAATCCATTTACACATGGCAACATTCAGACCAAGGGACATTAGTTTTTCAACCAATATGCTTGGGACAAGGCAGTTAAAAGCAGAGCTATAATCGATGAAAAGCATTCTGGCCACAGATTTACTAGTGTCCAAGTGAGTGTAGACAGAGTTCAGAGCAAAGGAGATGCATCCTCCACACTCCTGTTCTGTCTGTAGCAAACTGGAGCGGGTCAACACTCACAGGGATCTGGCTCTTAATGAAGTCCAACACCAGCCGCTCAAAAGTTTTCATAAGAACAGACGTGAGGGCCACAGGGCGGTAGTCATTCAGGCATGTCACAGGAGTTTTCTTAGGAACTGGAATAATGGTGGACCTTTTAAAGCTCACCGGCACCGTACAGCTCCTGAGTGACAAGTTAAAGATGTCCGTTAAAACAGGGGCAAGTTGCTCGGAGCACAGTTTCAGGACGCGGGGAGGAATGCAGTCCGGACCTGCGGCTTTCCGAGCTGTGGTCCTGGACAAGACCCGCCGTACTTCCTCGTGAGTCACTGTGAAGGCACCCTGACATTCGGGGAAGACAAAAGGCAGGGGATCAGCAGATTCAAAGCGGCAGTAAAAGTCGTTGAGCTCGTTTGGCAGAGCTTGGCCAGCAGCAATTTTCCCTGCACTTGGTTTCCAGGGCGTGATAAGACTGATCCCCTTCCACATGCGTCGAGGGTCCTCTTCCCCAAAGAAGCCCTCTAACCTGTCCCCATAGGAACGCTTAGCAGCTTTTATAGAGCGTTCCACAGCGTAGCAGGACAGCTTGTAAGCACCCTCATCACCGGATTGAAATGCCAGTGTCCGCTCATTAATTCTAAATTTGACATCAGTGTTCATCCAAGGTTTTTGGCCGGAGTGTTCTTTGATAACTTTATAGGGGACACAACAATCAATGCAAAATTGTATGTATCCTGTCACAGCCTCACAGAATTCATCAACATTCTCAGAGTTAAAAACAGACCAGTCTGTGGCATCAAAGCAGCCCTGCAGCTTCATGTTAGCCTCCTCAGACCAGCACTGCACAGTGCGGGAAGTAGGTTTGTGCTGTTTGTTCCTCTGTGTATAAGAAGGAAGAAGGAGAACAGCGAAGTGATCAGACTTCCCAAAAGCAGGTCTGAGACTGGACCTGTAAGCTGCCTTCACGTTACTATAGCAGTGATCCAGGATGTGCGCTCCCCTGGTAGGCTGACTCACATGCTGATAAAAGTTCGGTAATACTGACTTTAAGTTACATTTATTAAAATCACCACCAACTATAATCACAGCATTGGGGTGAGCAGCTTCATGTTTATGCAAAATGTCACTTAAGTCATTCAGTGCAGCTGTACAGTCAGCCCGAGGATGAATATATACAGCACATAAGAAAATCACTGAGAATTCTCGGGGAAGATAGAACGGGCGGCATCTCAAAACCAGACACTCCAGGTTAGCAGAGCATGTTTTGTTTACAATACAACTGTCAGTGCACCAGCGCTGGTTAATTAAAAGACACACCTCCACCTTTCGATTTCCCCGTGCTCTCCTTCTCTCTGTCCGAGCGGAAAATGGCGAATCCCGGCGGCTGAACAGCTGAGTCCGGGATATTCGGATGCAGCCACGTCTCGCTGAGGCAGTACACTGCGCAGTCCCAAGCCTCGCGCTGGTACTGGATTCGGCTCAGGAGATCATCCGACTTGTTCGGGAGAGACTGAACGTTTGCAAGGTAAATGGGTGGCAGTGGGACCCTGGGGGCGCGGCTCCGCACGAGAAGCCCGCCTCGCTTTCCCCGGTGTCTGCGCTTCCTCCGTCGGCGAGAGACACCCGGCTCCTCAAAGCCATCACACCTCAGAGCAGGCAACACTGGCTCACAGGCCAAGTCCCGTGTGTCCAGGAGAGTCTGTCGATCATATACCACAGTGGCAAGTGTTTTGTGAAAGGATAAAAACAGCATAAAAATCACGGTGCACAACGGAGCGCTTGCAGCGGCGCCCTGGCACGGCGCCATCTTAGGTATCAAATAAGTGTGTGTGTATGTATCTGTGCTGACGAACACAAGCTAGCTGACGAACAGAACTTATTTTTCAGTCGCTTTGATGCTGCCCCTGACACCTCTCCCTCCCCCACCCCCCACTACTCTAACGACCCACCCATCAGCCCTGCCCCCAGCCTAACAATAGCCTCTAAAGCCTCTATTAAACAACTCTTCTTGAGGCTGCACCCCCGCAAAACTCCTGGCCCGGACCACGTGTCTCCGGCCACTCTGAGACACTGCGCCAGTGAGCTAACTCCTGTGTTCACGGACATTTTCAACACCTCTCTGCAGTCCTGCCATGTCCCGGCCTGCTTCAAATCCTCCACCATTGTCCCCGTCCCGAAGAAGCCCAGGATCACAGGACTCAACGATTACAGACCTGTAGCACTTACGTCTGTCGTCATGAAGTCATTTGAACGCCTGGTTCTCTCCCATCTCAAGTCCCTCACCTCCTCCCTCCTGGACCCCCTGCAGTTCGCCTACAGAGCCAACAGATCTGTAGACGACGCCATTAACCTGGCCCTCCACCACATCCTACAGCACCTGGACTCCCCGGGGACCTACGCCAGGGTCCTGTTCGTGGACTTCAGCTCTGCCTTCAACACAATCCTGCCATCCCTGCTCCAGGACAAGCTCTCCCAGCTCAACGTGCCCGATTCCACCTGCAGGTGGATCACTGACTTCCTGACGGACAGGAAGCAGCGAGTGCGTCTGGGGAAGAATGTCTCGGACTCTGGGATTATAAATACAGGAGCCCCACAGGGCTGTGTTCTTTCTCCCCTGCTCTTCTCCCTGTACACTAACCACTGCACTTCCAGCCACAACTCTGTGAAGCTGATCAAGTTCGCGAACGACATTGTTATAGCCAGATTCCCACCCTCAGGAGATTGTGTGATTGTGTTGTGTAGCTGACAGATACATTTAACAGTTTCCCGATACTGCAGATTGTATTCCCATAACTCACTTTTGCATTACACAAACACTCTATTGTCTTCAAACACAAAGGGACATTCTGCTGTGCTTTCTGTTGCAATCTGCAGGTGTGCTAATCTCAAAAGTTCTCGCTGTACCTAATGTATCTTTCTTTCTTCCAGTCTCTCTGTCTCCTCCACCCCCGTCACCCCATCTCGCCCCCCGGTCTCCCTGTCTTCTCGTGACTCTGTTCATTGTTCTCTTGATTCACGCCTCTAGTATAATTATGAACATGCTTGTATGGGAGGGGCAGAGTGAGACTGGGCAAACCTAGCGTATGTACAGTTTTGGTCCGTCTCTCTCTCCCTCTGCAGACAGGATGTTATTTGATTGTATTCATCACCTCTGTAAATAAACTGCACAAAGACAAGCTGTTGCTCCTTTGGATTCATTCATTCGAGGCATTAGAATTTCCATAACAACGACACCACCCTCATTGGACTCATTTCCAACAACGATGAGTCCGCCTACAGGAGGGAGGTGGACCGGCTGGTGTCCTGGTGCAGTGGTAACAACCTGGAGCTGAACGCCCAGAAGACAGTGGAGATGACTGTGGACTTCAGGAAGAGCACTGTCCCCCCGCCCCCACCCTCCGTGATGGACTCCCCCATCACCTCTGTGGAGTCCTTCCGTTTCCTGGGCACCACCATCACCCAGGACCTCAAGTGGGAGCTGACCATCAGCTCCCTCATCAAGAAGGCCCAGCAGAGGATGTACTTCCTGCGGCAGCTCAGGAAAGCCAAGCTGCAGTTCTACACGGCCATCATCGAGTCCATCCTCACCTCCTCCATCACCTCCTCCATCACCTCCTCCATCACCTCCTCCATCACCTGCTCCATCACCTCCACCATCACCTCCTCCATCACCGTGTGGTTCGCTGGAGCCACAGTCAGGGACAAACAGAGACTACAGTGCATTGTGCGCTCTGCAGAGGAAGTGATCGGCCGCAGCCTTCCATCGCTGCAGGACCTGTACGTCGCCCGAGCTCGAGGCCGGGCTGGTCGTATCACAGCCGACCCCTCTCACCTGCACATGGACTATTCCAACCACTCCCCTCAGGCAGGAGGCTGCGGTCCATCAGGACTAGAACCTCCCGCCACAAGAACAGTTTCTTCCCCTCTGCTGTTGGACTCTTGAACACTTCTTAACCTGTCCCCCCGCCCTTTATAAAGTCACTTTACTGCCCATCATACGTCACTTTACTTCACTGTACTGCTGTCACCTTACATTGTGTGCACCATGTGCACTTGGATATTGTAAATAGTAACTGTAACTCTATTTTAAATTTAAATTTATCCTTTAGAAGTGTTTTTTATCCTTATTTTTATTATCTCTTTTTGACTGTTGCACTGAGCCAAAGCAATTTCCTTGTCTGTGACCTCCTGTTACTTACGTGGCAATAAAAATGATTCTGATTCTGATTCTGAGATTAGATGTCCACTGCTGTAGGTTGTTCCCACGGCGCAGATGACCCGGTCTGACAGAATCAGATTCTGTAAAATATTGACTGTGACGGCAGTACCACTTTTGGCCAGATTTTTACATACTGCTCCTTTAAAATGGGATATTTATTAAATGTATTAAATTATTGTGATTTCACAAGACTGTCTTAGAAGTGATCATTTGAAAATGTTCAATTTGAAAAATGCACTTTTTTCAAAAATACAAATACAAAATACAAAAATAAAGTGCATATTGATATTTATCTGTTTCTAAATATATTTCTTGTGAGAAATCATTAAGATGATCAGTGTTTCCACAAAGATAAATATCATTAATTATTAATAATAACATAGAGTTAAAGGTAAATTGAGCACATTGGCTATTTCTGGCAATTGATGTAAGTGTGTAACAAACTGGTAGCCCTTCGCATGAATCAGTACCCAAGAGGTAGCTCTTGGGTACTGGGTACTCTTTCAAAAAGGTTGGTGACCCCTGACTTAAGATAATAGATAATTAAATCAAATACTGAAGATAAAAATAATGAAATAAAATGTATATAAAATACACACAAAAAATATGTACAATAGGTCTGGCATGCGCCTCCTGTACTGGCGACCCCGCTCCCATCTCTGTGTGGAGTGAGAGGACAAATGCCCAAAAATAAACAATTGTAAACCACTTTGTGACTCTGGTCTGTGAAAAGCGGTATATAAATAAACATTACTTACTTACTATCAAGATGACTGAAGACTTGACAATATGTGTAAATAGAAGCAACTCTTAAACTACATGAATGCATTGTGTAGACATTTAACATTTATTACTAAGTCTCTTCACTACACAATATTGTTAAGTAATATTAATTCATCATTTATTATAGGTTTTCTAACAATGCCTGTCTGTTGCTATGAACGATGTAATGGGACGACATCATCTAGAATGCTGGTTAGAATGCTGGTTGCTATGGCAGCCCAAAAGTCCTCTGTCTGTAGCCCAGTGAATCAAAGTCTCAGTCGGCCTTGAGCAGGACAGAGAGAGGCTGTGTTTGACATCTCTCTCCATATGTTGGGATTTTTTGTCTGTTTTTACTTTTTTCTTTTGCAAAAGTGCTGGTACTAATCGTGTCCAGTTTACATTCAACAGTGGAAGACCCTCGGTAAGTGATAAAACACACATTTTGACAATAGAGGAAACTTGTACACTACATTGTAGGTAATAACTTATATGATCTTCATTAACTCGCTGTCTCTTCACTACCAGTGGCACGGACAGGTGAATCTCAGAAAAGTACAATATCGTTAAAAATGTATGTCATTCCGTAAACTTAAAAAGTGAAATCAAAACAAAAAATAGACTTGAAATACATGCGAAGAGCCATGTTTGTTTGCTATAAAAAAATAAATTGTGACAAATGCGTGCTAATCATCAACATTATAACAAATACAGTGTAGAAAGATCGCCTCTATTCAGAATCGCTACAGCTCGTTTTATGTCACCGCTGAGTGCAATGACGTTTCGTGCATGTACGCTCCAGAACTTTGGCCAGCTGGTACATATGTGCGTCGGTGCTACGAAGCGCGCAGGGCTGGAGGAATGCATGGTGGTAGTGCCGGACCTGTAGCGGGTTTGGGAACTGCAGTTCAATCGGGTATCTCCGATTGAACGGAATCATGCCCTTTACAATTGTGTCTTATAATGCGCGCGGCTGCGCGTTGGACACAGTAAAGCAGACTCTGCACGTTGGCACTGTAGTGGACTCACTTCTACAAACCTGTGATATCTTTTGTATTCAAGAGACCTTCTTAGCCAAGCAGGACTTGGACAAACTTAATGCTTCTGTATTAAGTGTTTCTTGAAGAATAACAACTACCTCAACTACCCCGTTTCCACACCTCTGTGGCGACGATCCGGGCCACTTGGCCTAGTTCGTTTGTAAAAACCTCTGTGACCGTGCCTTTAGAGCCAGAGTCACAGACAGCGGCAGTAAACCACTCTGTCCCTCTCTCCAACAGGAACCTGTCAAAGTACTGTCCAGATCAGGACTCATTTAGGAACAATAGCATGAACATACTGTTCTTCCTGCAGTCATTCATAAACAAACATATGACGCCTTAACATGTCCAACTATGAAGCTGAAACCAGAAAACATGCACAAATCAATAACTATCAACACATAAAATACTTACAACATGCATGAATACAGTCATAATACTACAACAGTATAAGCAGGAACATGAATGACACACTACTGTTTATAACTGTATTCTAATATCTTCAATAGAAATGAGTGAGGATCCTGAGCTGGCCCCAGCTCCTGCCCCAGCTCCTGCCCCAGCTCCTGCCCCAGCTCCTGCCCCAGCTCCTGCCCCAGCCTTGGCGCAGTCATCATGGCACAGCTGTAAAGATAGCAGTGACACGGTGTCCGAAATGGAGATTCCCAGGAAGAGGAAAACCAAAACTCACTGGATCACCTCCAAAACTGGCACCATTCAGCAAGGTAAGTCCTTTGCTGCGGCTGTTCTCTGGCCCACATGCCCCAGACACACACACACACACACACACAGAGAGAGACACAGACAGACACACACACAGACACACACAGAGACAGACACAGACAGACACACACACATGTTACGACCCAGCTCAGCTAGGGTGAAGGAGGTAACAAATTAAAACCAAGATGTTGAATGGAAAAGCAAGTATTTAATACAAGGCAAGTAAATGATAAGGAAACAAATCAAAAGGACACCACAGGACATAAGGGGGTAACTCAACGTTACCAAAATAAACCTACACTAAATACTTAACACTAAGCCACCTAGAACTTAACACTAAACCTACTGCTGTCTCAACAAAAGCGAAGTGTCACAAAAACAAAACCTCGAAGTGACAAATAAAGAGAGACAAACCAACTAAAAGCTATAAGGACCATAAGGACTGTCTAAAAGTCAGTGCCACCACTGTGACACTGACAGACACTTTCATAAGGACAGAAGCACAATGGCATACCAGCCACACACACAGGCTGGCAGCCTCGAACAGGTGTGGAGTGTGGCCTTAAGTGGAGACTGACTCCAGGTGGGGGAGATGGACCGGCCAGGTGCACCGCCGCTCCTCCAATCAGCACCCGAGTCACAACCTCCGGGAGGCGGGAGGGCCAGTGAATGACCAATGACAGGCCAAGGATCTTCAGACATGAGGTTTCCACACACACACACAAAATACAAAAACAGGGAGCAATATGTAGGCTCAGGGCCGTAACAACACACACACACACATACACACACACACACACACACAAACAGACCCACACACACACACACATACACACACACGCGCATACGCACACTAAAGTTCTCACCTTCTATATTTCTACAGCTCTTCACAAGGCGGACACGAAACTGAAACGCTTGGTCACAAATGTGATGCCAAGGAGAAATTCTCTGGCGAAAATGACTCCATCCAAATCAGGTTTGTGGCGCCTTAAGTATCAGGACACTGATATTATTATTCACAGGATTTTTTCTTGAAGAATAACAACTACCTCAAACTCCAATTTCAGCTCTGGTGCAGAGGGAAGTGTCCAGGAGCAGGACTTTGGAGGACAGCCACGACTCTGGTCAGTGCTCTTCTTGTTGTGTACCCCTAATACACACACTAATGTCCATCACAACTAGAGCCAGTGTCACATGCACCGCCTAAAGCCCGGTTAAAGTGTGCCAGGGCCCACTTCGCGATTAGATCCAGGTTAGACCGCAGGAACTGGGCTTGGGCACGGTTTCTGCAAGTGGGCCCGAGCACGTTTGAAGACTTGGGCCAGAGCATTCTTCCAAAGCCCAGATGAGATCAGTGTGGGAGAGGGGGGGAGTGAAGGATGAGGTGTGGTGGGGACTTGATATTGTGCGTCACTTTACGTCTTCCGTTGTTACGGGCCTTTTCACACACGTCTGTGCACTTTTTTATTCTCCGCTTGTGTTAAATCTTTCATATAACCCCCCGGACTGTGGTGGAGGGGCGCAGGGGAGTGGGTGGCTCCAGGGCCAAAGAAAAATGTTTCACAGTGTTGTGCTATTGCAATAGCACAACACTTCACTTCCGCCTCCGTCGAGCAAAGACGTGTCTCAGACCGCTCCTGCTTCTGACTGCTTGCCATCTCCTGTTTTTGTCTTTTTCCTGGAGTTTTGCCACAGACAACTTTAACAAGAATGGAAATGATTAACTGGTCCCTCAACGCAATTGATTCTATCTTTTCAACACGTAAGCGTGGGTCTGGAGAGCCCGTGTGCCCGGACGGGACCTCACCAGCGGGGTATACTCTTGACAGCTGGAACAAGTTTCAGCCTCTCTGTCTGTCGACCCTGTCCATTGAAGATTCGGAAGACGTATATATCTTTGGCATTTTGGTGGTGGGAATCCTCCTGTTTGGGTTTGGAGCGGTCCTCTTCTACCACAAATTCGGAGGCATGGCAGTTCGCAAGATTCACGACCTGCTGGCCGACAAAATTGATGGGATGTACAAGGAGCTTAGCCGCGTCGTGGTTGAGAGTGCCGTGTCTGGACAAAGGCGAGTGGTGTTGGTGGAACAGTTGATAAAAGATCTCGCAGCTCGTTCACTCGAAGGGAATAAAACTCTGGAGTTGAGATTGAATGACATCGTTTGCCAGGCTTGAACTCTCTGACCCGGCTTGGATTTGCCCCTGTGTACGGGGTCTGAGGGCGCCGCAATTCGGTTTAATTGGATTTAATAGAATATCTGCCTGCTTTTAACTGCTACATTGCATTGAATATTGTCCCCCTGAGGCGATGTGTTTTCTCCTCCTGTGCCTTCTCTCCACTCTTATCTCACATTCCTCGGCCAAGGCCATAATAACAAAGGTCCCATCTACAACAACTCACACTATTCAGTCTCCAGCTTGGATCCCCTAACCCCGCCTCCCTCTATCCATCTTGCTCCCTCCCTCCCCTCCACTCCTCACTGTGTTTCCGACTCACCCCCCTCCCTGACCCCGCCCCCCTCTGACAGCCACATTGGCCGGCTGTCGGAGGTGCTCATCCCGAGAAAAAATCCGTGCTTTATACAAAGCACAATGTGTCTATCCAACTGTCTGTGAAACTGTATGTTATTGCTCTCTGCTGTTTATTCTACTGTTTGTCGCATGGCGCCGTAAAGATGGCGCCGTGGCAAGAGCTCTGGTGTGTGTCGTCTTCTCTGTCTGGTGCACACCGGGGTAGTCTTGCACAGTTTTTCCAATGTGGTTTTACTGCAAATGGCAAATAAATGATTCTGAATCTGATCTGATAAGACTTCAGACGATCAAGAATCAAACTTTATTTAATCACGAGAACACACCAACACACACTTGTAACCTCCCTGTCTCCAGTCGCTCTGATCGTGCGCCACACTTTTTATTCTTTCATTCTCATTCATTCTTTTCTCAGCGCTCTAACACTCGTTTTAGTTTCAGTTTCAGTTCAGTTTATTTTAAAGGGGACAATGCAATTTAATAATACACATGATTAAACATGAGTTAAAAAAAACCAGAATTAGCCAAGGAGGCTATTTTTTATCGGTAGTCCCCTGGCCGTGATAGGGTTAGGGTTAGGGTTTTGGGGTTGGGGTTGGGGTTAACTGTAGCTGTAGGTATAGCGAAGAAACTCAAGATGGCCCTCTGGGAATGGCCCTCATTTGCATATGAGCATTTCACGTTTCAGCCAGTAGAGGGAGGCAGGTGGAGAGACAGAACAGGCTATATTTAAAGTCATTTTTAAGTGATGTGTTCAGTTCAAATCATATATCGTGTAACTACACTCATGAAAGCTCAGTAACAATATTTGACAGCATTTCCCAGCCCCATCCGCCAGGGGGCGTTAGGGTTAGGGTTAGGGTTAGGGTTAACGGTAGCTGTAGGTATAGCGAAGAAACTCAAGATGGCCCTCTGGGAACACCAATACAGCTGCTTCCTACAAATAGGTCACAGGGCAAGTCAAAGCTTTTACTTAGAAAATCCAAACAGTTATCAAATGTAGCATAGCAGCAAGTGCCAGAGACTCATAGTAATATGGTTTGAAGGAATATAAGAAATCAATCATTGTGAAAGTCTTTTTTTTTTCTCCTGTATGGCCAGGATCAGCATTTTACAATCCAAACCAAATGCTGGCGTCGCTGTATGGGGCCAGCGCGTTGCCCGTTTGGGGCACCTCAATACGTTAGGACAAAGGTTACATATATGTAGTTGCAAAGTTGCCGAGCGCGTGCCCGCAGTCTGTGGATATACACACCTGTTGGTGAGCCAGAATGATGCCTTTGGATCTTTTGAAAAGCTTGAATTGGGCCGGGGAGTAATGTCCTGGTGAATAATGTTTTTTCAACTGATGGAACATCCCTTTCAGAGTCATTTTGTTTGGCGTAGGGAAAGTAATGTAGTACAGACACATGTTTACTGCCGAGAATGAGTTCAGTTACCACACCGTCAATGTCCAATTTATATTCCAAAATAGTATCCCGCTCTGTGCTGTCCACACGTGTCGGATGGGCAGTAATTCTGACATCTTCATGGCTAAGGAAGTCCGAAGGGTCGGAAAAACTTCCAAACAGAGAGACGAGTGTCATGGCGTTGTCTGCTGCCGTCATAGCAAAATTTTCTTGGTCGCCTTCTTCTCCCCGAGTCGGGAGCGTTTGGGCAGCAGGCGCGGCGAAAGCGCCCATGGCGGCGGTCTGTTCCTCTGCAACATGGCCTCCTAGTTCTGCAACATTGAAGACACATGGACAAGTATTACAGTTAGTACAAGTAGTCCCATGTGTTCCACAAGTATTGTGCTTCTCTAATAGGTCAGGGTCCTGAGGGTACAGACGAACGATGCACAGGGCAGCACAGCGGGTGGCAGTGCGCCTATGGTGGGCTTGGCTCGGAGAGTACGTTTTAAATGTACGTTTGTTTTTATTTTCCAGCATTCAATTCACAAAACTAGACTCATGAATGGATTTGAGTGATTTACGTTCACCATTACAGTCATCTCTAGCCAGCCACATCTTTCTCCGTGTTTAAAAATTAGTCCAACGCAGGGTGTCGTAGTAGACGCAGGTCTAACATAACAAACATTGTCCAAAATCAAATCAAATACATCTGAACGTGTAAACTGTTCTTACCGTTTGAGGAGGCACGGGAGTGGTATTGGAATAACTGTTGGACATCGCTCTTGAAAGAGAACAAATGGCAGTTCAAATCCCTCAGATTTAGGATAACTTTAGCGACAGCGCTAAATTGATTCTCCATATCTGAACACACACAAAAAAGTATTAAAAATGGGTTAGGGAAAGGGGTTAGGTGCTTGAGTTAGCCCCAACTCCCAAACAGGAAAGATGATAATATTTATAAATATAAGAAACTAAAACAATAACAGAAAGTGAGTTTAGAATTATACAAATAACTATTTACAAATATAACAGTTGAAAAGAACGAGGAGATAAATCTGGGAATGATTTGCTTGCTTTTGGCTCCCTCTAGTGGCCGCGCCGCGCCAACACACTATTAGTGGCAGCGTGCTTGCACTATAAGAAAAAGTAACTTTAATGAAACTATAGCGATGGAAAACGATGGGAAATACATAACTCAGTGAAACGTGATCAGAAAAAGTAGTAATAGATAGGGCCATATTAGCAGACACTATAAACCAGGGGTCCCCAATTAAATTGGCATGAGGTCCACTTACTTGATGAGTTCAATAGATTAGGGTCCGGACATCATACAAATATTTATTTAATAGAAATCCGTTCAAGCTATTTCTTCCATATTAAATTATTTGAAACCTTCAACAACAACGACTACAGTAGTAAGAACTATTTGTAAACAAAATCTAAAGATAGGTGTGTATATTTCAATTCATTGATAATAATTCAACATTAATCTACTTTGTTTATTTCTACACAACACACCACAAACCTCTCCCAAACTCTCAGAGCAGAGTGTGCAACACATATTAATTGCGGAGGATAAGGGTATCGTTTTTGAACTGCTTCTTTCTATCAAATAAAGTTTTTGCCATCGCCTCCACTCACTCTGACCATAACAAAGCTCTTTATGCCCGAAATCCACTGCACTTGCATTAACACTGTCTACTGTGAGCACTTAAGTAGGGCATGCGCTGTTTGTTAATGCTTTAATATGTTTCTGATGTGTACCTCTGTCTCGCTCCTCCTCACACACCTCTGTCTCGCTCCTCCTCGCGCTCCTCCTCACACACCTCTGTCTCGCTCCTCCTCGCGCTCCTCCTCACACACCTCTGTCTCGCTCCTCCTCACACACCTCTGTCTCGCTCCTCCTCGCGCTCCTCCTCACACACCTCTGTCTCGCTCCTCCTCGCTGCTCCTCCTCACACACGTCTGTCTCGATCCTCCTCACGCTCCTCCTCACACACCTCTGTCTCGCTCCTCCTCGCTGCTGCTCCTCACACACCTGTCTCGCTCCTCCTCACACACCTCTGTCTCGCTCCTCCTCGCGCTCCTCCTCACACACCTCTGTCTCGCTCCTCCTCGCTGCTCCTCCTCACACACCTCTGTCTCGCTCCTCCTCGCTGCTCCTCCTCACACACCTCTGTCTCGCTCCTCCTCGCTGCTCCTCCTCACACACCTCTGTCTCGCTCCTCCTCGCTGCTCCTCCTCACACACCCTCTGTCTCGCTCCTCCTCGCGCTCCTCCTCACACACCTCTGTCTCGCTCCTCCTCGCGCTCCTCCTCACACACCTCTGTCTCGCTCCTCCTCGCTGCTCCTCCTCACACACCTCTGTCTCGCTCCTCCTCGCTGCTCCTCCTCACACACCTCTGTCTCGCTCCTCCTCGCTGCTCCTCCTCACACACCTCTGTCTCGCTCCTCCTCGCTGCTCCTCCTCACACACCCTGTCTCCTCTCCTCACACACCTCTGTCTCGCTCCTCCTCGCGCTCCTCCTCACACACCTCTGTCTCGCTCCTCCTCGCTGCTCCTCCTCACACACCTCTGTCTCGCTCCTCCTCGCGCTCCTCCCCTCGTCTGCTCCTCCTCACACACCTCTGTCTCGCTCCTCCTCGCGCTCCTCCTCACACACCTCTGTCTCGCTCCTCCTCGCTGCCCTCCTCCTCACACCTCTGTCTCGCTCCTCCTCGCTGCTCCTCCTCACACACCTCTGTCTCGCTCCTCCTCGCTGCTCCTCCTCACACACTCTGTCTCGCTCCTCCTCACACACCTCTGTCTCGCTCCTCCTCGCGCTCCTCCTCACACACCTCTGTCTCGCTCCTCCTCGCTGCTCCTCCTCACACACCTCTGTCTCGCTCCTCCTCGCTGCCGCTCCTCCTCGCTGCTCCTCCTCACACACCTCTGTCTCGCTCCTCCTCGCGCTCCTCCTCACACACCTCTGTCTCGCTCCTCCTCGCTGCTCCTCCTCACACACCTCTGTCTCGCTCCTCCTCGCGCTCCTCCTCACACACCTCTGTCTCGCTCCTCCTCGCTGCTCCTCCTCACACACTCTGTCTCGCTCCTCCTCGCGCTCCTCCTCACACACCTCTGTCTCGCTCCTCCTCGCGCTCCTCCTCACACACCTCTGTCTCGCTCCTCCTCGCTGCTCCTCCTCACACACCTCTGTCTCGCTCCTCCTCTCGCGCTCCTCCTCGCTGCTCCTCCTCACACACCTCTGTCTCGCTCCTCCTCGCGCTCCTCCTCACACACCTCTGTCTCGCTCTCCTCGCGCTCCTCCTCACACACCTCTGTCTCGCTCCTCCTCGCGCTCTCCTCACACACCTCTGTCTCGCTCCTCCTCGCTGCTCCTCCTCACACACCTCTGTCTCGCTCCTCCTCGCTGCTCCTCCTCACACACCTCTGTCTCGCTCCTCCTCGCTGCTCCTCCTCACACACCTCTGTCTCGCTCCTCCCGCTGCCTCCTCCTCACACACCTCTGTCTCGCTCCTCCTCGCGCTCCTCCTCGCTGCTCCTCCTCACACACCTCTGTCTCGCTCCTCCTCGCGCTCCTCCTCACACACCTCTGTCTCGCTCCTCCTCCGCTCCTCCTCACACACCTCTGTCTCGCTCCTCCTCGCTGCTCCTCCTCACACACCTCTGTCTCGCTCCTCCTCCGCTCCTCCTCCACACTCTGCTCGCTCTCCTCCACCTCTGTCTCGCTCCTCCTCACACACCTCTGTCTCGCTCCTCCTCACACACCTCTGTCTCGCTCCTCCTCACGCTCCTCCTCACACACCTCTGTCTCGCTCCTCCTCACGCTCCTCCTCACACACCTCTGTCTCGCTCCTCCTCGCTGCTCCTCCTCACACACCTCTGTCTCGCTCCTCCTCGCGCTCCTCCTCACACACCTCTGTCTCGCTCCTCCTCGCTGCTCCTCCTCACACACGTCTGTCTCGCTCCTCCTCACACACCTCTGTCTCGCTCCTCCTCACACACCTCTGTCTCGCTCCTCCTCACACACCTCTGTCTCGCTCCTCCTCACGCTCCTCCTCACACACCTCTGTCTCGCTCCTCCTCACGCTCCTCCTCACACACCTCTGTCTCGCTCCTCCTCGCTGCTCCTCCTCACACACCTCTGTCTCGCTCCTCCTCGCTGCTCCTCCTCACACACCTCTGTCTCGCTCCTCCTCGCTGCTCCTCCTCACACACCTCTGTCTCGCTCCTTCTTCTCCTCCTCCGCTCATAAACAGGCAGTGTGAGCAGCTGAATGCGAGCGTCAATCGCTCCGTACACAGCGCTCATTCCCGTTGCTTTCACTAAAGTTATTTTGATTGCTCCGTGGAAGGACCCGCTCCCCACATAGCCGCCCTCGCGCCTACCTGTTTATAAATCGCTTTTGGTAATAATTTGACACGTAATTGCAATAATGTTATAATATTTACATGGTGGTGGAAAAAACAATAGCAAAAAGCGAGCTTAAAATTATACAAATAACTATTTACAAATATTTAAGGCAATAACAGGTGAAAAGAACGAGGTGAGAGATCTGGGAGTTATTTGCTTTCTTGTGGCTCCCTCTAGTGGCCGCACCACGCCAACACACTAAGAGCGGCCGCATGCTCGCACTATAAGAAAAATTAACTTTACTGAAACTATAGCGATGGAAAACGAGAGGAAAAACCTAACTCAGTGAAAAAAATGATCAGAAAAAGTATGAATAGTTAAAACATATTAGCAGACACTATAAACTATTGACAGACAAATGAGATACATCTAATAATAAACTACTAAACACACTCAAACAAGTTACAAAGCAAGTTACACAAATACACTTTTAATGATAATACTAGCTATTCATGCAAACTCTCACACTTACATTGGGTCATGCGCACACACACTGGGAAGCGGCGGACTAAACAAGGAGCGGAGATGCAGGGGAGAGAACAGCAGGTAATGATGTCACAAGTTAACAAATTAAAACAACTAAAAAGTAAAACAATCAAATATCTGACAATTTTATTTGACCATACACCAATAACAGGCCCCTGCGACCCATACCTGTCCTTTTATTAAGTGCCAAAGTCTGTTAAATGGTTGGCTTGATTTGTTAGGATTTGGACTCTTTGGTTTTGCCTCATTGATCCATTGAATTGTGGGGATTGGCCCAACCCAGCTGGTCAATAGCCCTGCTAGGTAGACCCATTCTCCACATTTCACAGGACCACAGAGGCAGTTAAGCCCCCACGCCACGACAAGGCAGAGTCCATGTGGGGGATGTATTTTTTTGTGTATTTTTTGTTTGTTTTTTATTTTTTTTTTTTTTTTCTGCTACCTACGAACTTGATATCAACTGCTTAACTATAAAACTAACTTATCCAACAACTAAGAACACACGAAACACACACAATATTTACAAAGCCTCAGTCATTAATTGCCTTCTCTTTGTTTTGAAGGCTTGAAATGTTCTGATTTGGAGGTTAGTCTCCTGACAGACCTTTAGATATCTGCTGTAGGCCTGTCTGTGGGTAATGTTGCTGTCTGTATTCACCAGTGTCTTCTCAAGTGCACTCCACGCCACTCTCATGCCTTTTGGAAGCACCCTGCTGACAGACTTGATGCTTGGGACCTGGTCTTCAACTTCCTCGCACCGATCCAAATCGCTTGATTGCTTCGGTGGTTCGTCTAAGGTTAGGGTTAGGGTTAGGGTTAGGGTTAGGGTTAGGTATAGCGAAGAAACTCAAGATGGCCTCTGTAAGGAGACCGCCTCCTGAAAGGAGGGGTGTTGGCACGGGCCCTCTCCCTGCTCCCTGACCAATTTCGGGTCCAATGGTCCCGGCGGTCACCGCTGTGGCCCTGCAGGCGCCACCGTTGGCGACCACCGTAGACCCAAGGTCCGTCATGCGCCATACTCCCAGCCTAACTGTAGAGTATGTGGTAAGTATGGTGTAGACACTTGAAAACGACGTTTCGACCGTTTAGGTCTTCCTCAGGTGTTGTGTCTACGAGCGAACTGAGCGAATGAATGAGTGAGGAGGGTCAGAGCCGCTACTGATATAGCTGGGCTCCGCCCCCTGCGTTTCCATTGGCTCATTTCAAATTCAAAATGGTGATACTTAAAACATGTCATTTTTACTTGAACAAGGTTGTTTTTAACTTAAGAAATACTAAATAATAAAGAAGGATGAACTTTAAGGTTTTTAAATGAACTTTGTTGTACTATAATATTTTTATAGAAGGTTTTGTGAAGGTTTTTATTTGTTTTTTTGTTGTTTTTATTTATTTTTTGTTTTTTATATATATTTTTTTTATTTTTTATACTTTTTTTGTGTGCACCACTTGTGCTACAGATTTTTAATTCCTTTTTTCTTTGTGGTTTCTCTTTTCAGAAAAAATTAAATTGGCTGCACCCAGTGTGACAACCCCGTCCTGTGCACTTCCTGGTCTGCACCGGAGGTCCAAGTGGGGGTGAAGGTAAGGTGTGGGTCTAGTGTGGGTCTAGTGGGTTAAGTTTAGGTGAGGGTCTAATTGGTTAAGTTTAGGTAGGAGTCTAACTGGTTAAGTTTAGGGTTAGGGTTAGGGTTAGGGTTAGGGGGTTAGGGGGTTAGGGTTAGGGTTAGGGTTAGGGTTAGGGTTAGGGTTAGGGTTAGGGTTAGGGTTAGGGTTAGGTATAGCGAAGAAACTCAAGATGGCCCTCTGGGAATGGCCCTCATTTGCATATGAGCATTTCACGTTTCAGCCAGTAGAGGGAGGCAGGTGGAGAGACAGAACAGGCTATATTTAAAGTCATTTTTAAGTCATGAACTATATTGTTTTACATGTTCTGCCTGTGGTGTGCCTCGTGGTGGTTTCAATGAAAAAAACAAAGTGCCTTGCCTCCAAAAAGGTTGAAAAACAATGACGTAAGTAGGGCAATATGAGTTGAGTGGATGTGTTCAGTTCAAATCATATATCGTGTAACTACACTCATGAAAGCTCAGTAACAATATTTGACAGCATTTCCCAGCCCCATCCGCCAGGGGGCGTTCCAATTTAAAAAGGGTTAGGGTTAGGGTTAGGGTTTTGGGGTTGGGGTTGGGGTTAACTGTAGCTGTAGGTATAGCGAAGAAACTCAAGATGGCCCTCTGGGAATGGCCCTCATTTGCATATGAGCATGTCCGGGTCCCAGAGGTCTAAGTCCGGGTCCCAGAGGTCCGGGGGGGTCTCAGACCTCCGGGGCCAGTCTCAGAGGACTAAGTCCGGGTCCCAGAGGTCTAAGTCCGGGTCTCAGAGGTCCGGGGGGGTCTCAGACCTCCGGGGCCAGTCTCAGAGGTCTAGGTCCGGGTCTCAGAGGTCCGGGGGGGTCTCAGACCTCCGGGGCCAGTCTCAGAGGTCCGGGGCCGGGTCTCAGAGGTCCGGCCTCTGGTCTCAGACCTCCGGGGGTCTCGGACCTCCGGGGGGGTCTCAGACCTCCGGGGGGGGTCTCAGACCTCTGGGGCCAGTCTCAGAGGTCCGGGGCCGGGTCTCAGAGGTCCGGCCTCCGGTCTCAGACCTCCGGGGGGGTCTCAGAGGTCTGCGGCCGGGCTCAGAGGCCTGCGGCCGGGTCTCAGAGGCCTGGGGCCGGGTCTCAGAGGTGAGCCTGGTACTACAAGTGAGACACTTAGAGAAATTTTGACTAAGTGTCACCGGTCTGAGAACCAAGGGGGGGTCTCTGAGGTCATCCCAAGCCGGGAATGAGGCCCCATACTGGGCTCTGGGACCTCCGGGAGGACCGGTCCCAGAACCAGTGGATATCAATTATTTTTCTAAGTGTCACCGTTCCCAGAACCAGGGGGGGTCTCTCTGAGGATCCCAAGCCGGGAATGAGGCCCCATACTGGGCTCTGGGACCTCCGGGAGGTCCGGTCCCAGAACCAGTGGATATCAATTATTTTTCTAAGTGTCACCGTTCCCAGAACCAGGGGGGGTCTCTCTGAGGATCCCAAGCCGGGAATGAGGCCCCATACTGGGCTCTGGGACCTCCGGGAGGTCCGGTCCCAGAACCAGTGGATATCAATTATTTTTCTAAGTGTCACCGGTCTGAGAACCAAGGGGGGGTCTCTGAGGTCATCCCAAGCCGGGAATGAGGCCCCATACTGGGCTCTGGGACCTCCGGGAGGTCCGGTCCCAGAACCAGTTGATATCAATTATTTTTCTAAGTGTCACCGTTCCCAGAACCAGGGGGGGTCTCTCTGGGGATCCCAAGCCGAGAATGAGGCCCCATACTGGGCTCTGGGACCTCCGGGAGGTCCGGTCCCAGAACCAGTGGATATCAATTATTTTTCTAAGTGTCACCGTTCCCAGAACCAGGGGGGGTCTCTCTGAGGATCCCAAGCCGGGAATGAGGCCCCATACTGGGCTCTGGGACCTCCGGGAGGTCCGGTCCCAGAACCAGTTGATATCAATTATTTTTCTAAGTGTCACCGGTCTGAGAACCAAGGGGGGGTCTCTGAGGTCATCCCAAGCCGGGAATGAGGCCCCATACTCGGCTCTGGGACCTCCGGGAGGTCCGGTCCCAGAACCAGTAGATATCATGTATTTTTCTAAGTGTCACCGGTCTGAGAACCAAGGGGGGGTCTCTGAGGTTATCCCAACCCCAGGAATGAGGCCCCATACTCGGCTCTGGGACCTCCGGGAGGACCGGTCCCAGAACCAGGGGGGTCACTGGAAGTATCCAATCCGGGAATCAGGGCTCAAACCGGGCTTCAGGACAACCATGACAGGCCTGGTTCTGGCAGCAGATTTGAAAATTTGTCTAAGTCCATCAATGGTATCTCCGGGTTTTGAACCCGGACTGCTGGCGCAACAGTCCATCACCTTAACCACTCGACCACGGGCGGGGTCGAGCGGGGGCCCGCGCTTTATAGGCCCTTTGAGGTTAATGTAGGAACCAGGGAGTATCTGGAAGTCCCCAACCCGACTTCTGAGGCTCTTTCCTGGGGGAGACCTGTGGTTTTTCCCCTGGTTCTCCTGGGCCCACTCTCTCATATTCCAACCCGGGAATGAGGCCTCAAACTGGGGTCCCAGAACCTCCAGGACCAGGGGGGGTGTCACTGGATGTATGTAGCCAGGGAAGGAGGCATCAAACCTGGGTTAATGACACCCATGACCGGGGCAGGATTCGAACCTGCACCGCTGGCACCGCAGTCCATCACCGTAACCACTCGACCACTGGCGGGGCCCCCCGCTTTATAGGCGCTTTGAGGTCAATGTAGGAACCAGGGAGTATCTGGAAGTCCCCAACCCGACTTCTGAGGCTCTTTCCTGGGGGAGACCTGTGGTTTTTCCCCTGGTTCTCCTGGGCCCACTCTCTCATATTCCAACCCGGGAAGGAGGGCTCAAGCTGGGGTCCCAGACACTGGATGTATATAGCCAGGGAAGGAGGCATCAAACCTGGGTCCCAGACCTCCAGGACCAGGGGGGGTGTCACTGGATGTATGTAGCCAGGAAGGAGGCATCAAACCTGGGTTAATGACGCCCATGACCGGGGCAGGATTTGAACCTGCGACGCCCGCGCTCCAGTCCATCACCTTAACCACTCGACCACGGCGGGTCGACCACAATGGAACCAGGGGGTGTCTGGAAGTCCCAACCCGACTTCGCTCAACGGCGGGGGCCCGCGCTTTACCGGAAGGAGGCCTGGTTTGAGGTGACCGGGCAATGAACTGCAGGAACCACTGCGGGGCCCCCGCTTTATAGGCGCTTTGAGGTCAATGTAGGAACCAGGGAGATCTGGAAGTCCCCAACCCGACTTCTGAGGCTCTTTCCTGGGGGAGACCTGTGGTTTTTCCCCTGGTACTCCTGGGCCCACTCTCTCATATTCCAACCCGGGAAGGAGGCCTCAAGCTGGGGTCCCAGAACCTCCAGGACCAGGGGGGGTGTCACTGGATGTATGTAGCCAGGGAAGGAGGCATCAAACCTGGGTTAATGACAGCCATGACCCGGGCAGGAATCGAACCTGCACCAGCCGGATCTCCAGTCCATCACCTTAACCACTCGACCACTAACCCTCTCTCATATTCCCCATATAGGTCCCTTGGAAAAGGTGGTTTGACCTCACCTTTTTGAGCCTGGGGGTTTCAGCCCGGGACTCCCGGGCTGAAAAAAAGGTCAAACCATGTTTTCCAAGGGACCTATATGGGGGAATATGAGAAAGTGGATTTTTTCTAAGTGTTTGAAATGTGACTAAGTGTTTCATTTGTTGAATTTTGTCTAAGTGTTTGAAATGTGACTAAGTGTTTCATTTGTTGAATTTTTTCTAAGTGTTTGAAATGTGACTAAGTGTTTCATTTGTTGAATTTTTTCTAAGTGTTTCACTTGTAGTACCAGGCACGTCAACTTCTGAATGTAGTACCAGGCACACTTAGTTTTTACCGGCGCGCCTGGAGGGGTTTAGTCCGAGGAGGGGGGCTTAATAGTGGGTACGCAGGTTCGAGGGGAGAGCCTGGTTCTCTGACAGCGGGGGTCCCTGGAGGTTCCCAACCCGGGTGTGAGGCATGGTCCCCGGGTGCGGCTCAGAGCTCCATGCCCCCTGGTTCTCTGACAGCGGGGGTCCCTGGAGGTTCCCAACCCAGGTGTGAGGCATGGTCCCCGGGTGCGGCTCAGGGCTCCATGCCCCCTGGTTCTCTGACAGCGGGGGTCCCTGGAGGTTCCCAACCCAGGTGTGAGGCATGGTCCCCGGGTGCGGCTCAGGGCTCCATGCCCCCTGGTTCTCTGACAGCGGGGGTCCCTGGAGGTTCCCAACCCAGGTGTGAGGCATGGTCCCCGGGCAGGATTCGAACCCACGTCGCTGGATCTCTGGTCCATCACCTTAGCCACTACACCACGGGCGGGGCCCCCATTACCCGGGGTTTTGGTGGCCTTTTGAGTGTACCACTCTGGGAACCAGACCGGTCCCGGGCTCCAGAGGACCATGGGGGTCTGTGGGGGTATCCCAAGCCGGGAATGAGGCCCCAAGCCCGGGTTGGAGACCTCCATGGACCATGGGGGTGTGTGCTTTGTATAGCAGTGACAGGTGGGTTTCATACTAATTCCAAGTGCTCCTTGTCCCAGAACCAGGGCACTACACTGGGAACCAGACCGGTCCCGGGCTCCAGAGGACCATGGGGGTCTGTGGGGGTATCCCAAGCCGGGAATGAGGCCCCAAGCCCGGGCTGGGGACCTCCAGAGACCATGGGGGTGGGTGCTTTGTATAGCAGTGAGAGGTGGGTTTCATACTAATTCCAAGTGCCTCTTGTCCCAGAACCAGGGCACTACACTGGGGACCAGACCGGTCCCGGGCTCCAGAGGACCACGGGGGTCTGTGGGGGTATCCCAAGCCGGGAATGAGGCCCCCAGCCCGGGCTGGAGACCTCCAGGGACTGGGGGGGTGTCTCTGGAGGTCCCAACCCCAGGAATGAGGCCCCCAGCCCGGGCTGGAGACCTCCAGGGACTGGGGGGGTGTCTCTGGAGGTCCCAACCCCAGGAATGAGGCCTCAAACCCGGCCTGGAGACCTCCAGGACCAGGAGGGTGTCCCTGGAGGTCCCAACCCCAGGAATGAGGCCCCAAACCCGGCCTGGATACAGCAATGAAAGGCCTGGTACTAGTATATAAGTAAATAATACTAAGTGTTAAAACCCTAACCCAGGACCAGCGGGGTCCCTGGAGGTCCCAACCCCAGGAATGAGGCCCCAAACCCGGGCTGGATACCTCCAGGACCAGCAGGGTCCCTGGAGGTATCTTCCCCGGGAATGAGGCCCCCCGCCCGGGCTGGAGACCTCCAGGGACTGGGGGTGTGTCCCTGGAGGTCCCAACCCCAGAAATGAGGCCCCAAACCCGGGCTGGATACCTCCAGGACCAGCAGGGTCCCTGGAGGTATCTTCCCCAGGAATGAGGCCCCAAACCTGGCCTGGAGACCTCCAGAACCAGGGTCCCTGGAGGTCCCAACCCCGGGAATGAGGCCTCAAACCCGGCCTGGAGACCTCCAGGACCAGGAGGGTGTCCCTGGAGGTCCCAACCCCAGGAATGAGGCCCCAAACCCGGCCTGGATACAGCAATGAAAGGCCTGGTACTAGTATATAAGTAAATAATACTAAGTGTTAAAACCCTAACCCAGGACCAGCGGGGTCCCTGGAGGTCCCAACCCCAGGAATGAGGCCCCAAACCCGGGCTGGATACCTCCAGGACCAGCAGGGTCCCTGGAGGTATCTTCCCCGGGAATGAGGCCCCCAGCCCGGGCTGGAGACCTCCAGGGACTGGGGGTGTGTCCCTGGAGGTCCCAACCCCAGGAATGAGGCCCCAAACCCGGGCTGGATACCTCCAGGACCAGCAGGGTCCCTGAAGGTATCTTCCCCGGGAATGAGGCCCCCAGCCCGGGCTGGAGACCTCCAGGGACTGGGGGTGTGTCCCTGGAGGTCCCAACCCCAGGAATGAGGCCCCAAACCCGGGCTGGATACCTCCAGGACCAGCAGGGTCCCTGGAGGTATCTTCCCCAGGAATGAGGCCCCAAACCTGGCCTGGAGACCTCCAGAACCAGGGGGGTGTCTCTGGAGGTCCCAACCCCAGGAATGAGGCCTCAAACCCGGCCTGGAGACCTCCAGGACCAGGAGGGTGTCCCTGGAGGTCCCAACCCCAGGAATGAGGCCCCAAACCCGGCCTGGATACAGCAATGAAAGGCCTGGTACTAGTATATAAGTAAATAATACTAAGTGTTAAAACCCTAACCCAGGACCAGCGGGGTCCCTGGAGGTCCCAACCCCAGGAATGAGGCCCCAAACCCGGGCTGGATACCTCCAGGACCAGCAGGGTCCCTGGAGGTATCTTCCCCGGGAATGAGGCCCCCAGCCCGGGCTGGAGACCTCCAGGGACTGGGGGTGTGTTGCTGGAGGTCCCAACCCCAGGAATGAGGCCCCAAACCCGGGCTGGATACCTCCAGGACCAGCGGGGTCCCTGGAGGTATCTTCCCCGGGAATGAGGCCCCAAGCCCGGCCTGGAGACCTCCAGGGACTAGGGGGGTGTCCCTGGAGGTCCCAACCCCAGGAATGAGGCCCCAAACCCGGCCTGGATACCTCCAGGACCAGCAGGGTCCCTGGAGGTATCTTCCCCAGGAATGAGGCCCCAAACCCGGCCTGGAGACCTCCAGGGACTGGGGGTGTGTCCCTGGAGGTCCCAACCCCAGGAATGAGGCCCCAAACCCGGGCTGGATACCTCCAGGACCAGCGGGGTCCCTGGAGGTATCTTCCCCGGGAATGAGGCCCCCAGCCCGGGCTGGAGACCTCCAGGGACTGGGGGTGTGTTGCTGGAGGTCCCAACCCCAGGAATGAGGCCCCAAACCCGGCCTGGAGACCTCCAGGACCAGCAGGGTCCCTGGAGGTCCCAACCCCAGGAATGAGGCCTCAAACCCGGCCTGAAGACCTCCAGGACCAGGGGGGTGTCTCTGAAGGTCCCAACCCCAGGAATGAGGCCCCAAACCCGGCCTGGATACAGCAATGAAAGGCCTGGTACTAGTATATAAGTAAATAATGCTAAGTGTTAAAACCCTAACCCAGGACCAGCGGGGTCCCTGGAGGTCCCAACCCCAGGAATGAGGCCCCAAACCCGGCCTGGAGACCTCCAGGACCAGCGGGGTCCCTGGAGGTATCTTCCCCAGGAACGAGGCCCCAAACCCGGCCTGGAGACCTCCAGGACCAGCGGGGTCCCTGGAGGTATCTTCCCCAGGAATGGGGCCCCAAACCTGGCCTGGAGACTTCCAGGACAGGCGGGGTCCCTGGAGGTCCCAACCCCAGGAATGAGGCCCCAAACCCGGCCTGGAGACCTCCAGGGACCAGGGGGGGTGTCCCTGGAGGTCCCAACCCCAGGAATGAGGCCTCAAACCCGGCCTGAAGACCTCCAGGACCAGCGGGGTCCCTGGAGGTGTCTTCCCCAGGAATGAGGCCCCAAACCCGGCCTGGAGACCTCCAGGGACTTTTAATTTTGGTTAAAATAATGCCCCCTTGTGGCCATTTCTGAACCCAAGATCCCAGTTTTTAAGTGACCCAATATCCCATTTCCCAGTATGCAAATGAATGGGAAAACCCAGAGAATTCCTAAAGTTGGGTCTTCTCTCAATCTTACTGGTATGACCATTGAAAAAAGCCCACTTTCTCAGTGAGTTCCCCTAACCCTAACCCTAACCCTAACCCTAACCCTAACCCTAACCCTAACCCTAACCCTAACCCTAACCCTAACCCTAACCCTAACCCTAACCCTAACCCTAACCCTAACCCTAACCCTAACCCTAACCCTAACCCTAACCCTAACCCTAACCCTAACCCTAACCCTAACCCTAACCCTAACCCTAACCCTAACCCTAACCCTAACCTAACCCTAACCCTAACCCTAACCCTAACCCTAACCTAACCCTAACCCTAACCCTAACCCTAACCCTAACCCTAACCCTAACCCTAACCCTAACCCTAACCCTAACCCTAACCCTAACCCTAACCCTAACCCTAACCCTAACCCTAACCCTAACCCTAACCCTAACCCTAACCCCTAACCCTAACCCTAACCCTAACCCTAACCCTAACCCTAACCCTAACCCTAACCCTAACCCTACCCTAACCCTAACCCTAACCCTAACCCTAACCCTAACCCTAACCCTAACCCTAACCCTAACCCTAACCCTCATTCCCGGCTTGGGATACCCCCACAGACCCCCATGGTCCTCTGGAGCCCGGGACCGGTCTGGTTCCCAGTGTAGTGCCCTGGTTCTGGGACAAGGAGCACTTGGAATTAGTATGAAACCCACCTGTCACTGCTATACAAAGCACACACCCCCATGGTCCATGGAGGTCCCCAGCCCGGGCTTGGGGCCTCATTCCCGGCTTGGGATACCCCCACAGACCCCCATGGTCCTCTGGAGCCCGGGACCGGTCTGGTTCCCAGTGTAGTGCCCTGGTTCTGGGACAAGGAGCACTTGGAATTAGTATGAAACCCACCTGTCACTGCTATACAAAGCACACACCCCCATGGTCCATGGAGGTCCCAGCCCGGGCTTGGGGCCTCATTCCCGGCTTGGGATACCCCCACAGACCCCCATGGTCCTCTGGAGCCCGGGACCGGTCTGGTTCCCAGTGTAGTGCCCTGGTTCTGGGACAAGGAGCACTTGGAATTAGTATGAAACCCACCTGTCACTGCTATACAAAGCACACACACCCCCATGGTCCATGGAGGTCCCACCCGGGCTTGGGGCCTCATTCCCGGCTTGGGATACCCCCACAGACCCCCATGGTCCTCTGGAGCCCGGGACCGGTCTGGTTCCCAGTGTAGTGCCCTGGTTCTGGGACAAGGAGCACTTGGAATTAGTATGAAACCCACCGTCACTGCTATACAAAGCACACACCCCCATGGTCCATGGAGGTCTCCAACCCGGGCTTGGGGCCTCATTCCCGGCTTGGGATACCCCCACAGACCCCCATGGTCCTCTGGAGCCCGGGACCGGTCTGGTTCCCAGAGTGGTACACTCAAAAGGCCACCAAAACCCCGGGTAATGGGGGCCCCGCCCGTGGTGTAGTGGCTAAGGTGATGGACCAGAGATCCAGCGACGTGGGTTCGAATCCTGCCCGGGGACCATGCCTCACACCTGGGTTGGGAACCTCCAGGGACCCCCGCTGTCAGAGAACCAGGGGGCATGGAGCTCTGAGCCGCACCCGGGGACCATGCCTCACACCCGGGTTGGGAACCTCCAGGGACCCCCGCTGTCAGAGAACCAGGCTCTCCCCTCGAACCTGCGTACCCACTATTAAGCCCCCCTCCTCGGACTAAACCCCTCCAGGCGCGCCGGTAAAAACTAAGTGTGCCTGGTACTACATTCAGAAGTTGACGTGCCTGGTACTACAAGTGAAACACTTAGAAAAAATTCAACAAATGAAACACTTAGTCACATTTCAAACACTTAGAAAAAATTCAACAAATGAAACACTTAGTCACATTTCAAACACTTAGAAAAAATTCAACAAATGAAACACTTAGTCACATTTCAAACACTTAGAAAAAATTCAACAAATGAAACACTTAGTCACATTTCAAACACTTAGAAAAAATCCACTCTCTCATATTCCCCCATATAGGTCCCTTGGAAAACATGGTTTGACCCGGGACTCCCGGGCTGAAACCCCCGGGCTCACGCTGCGTCCCAAAAAGGTGAGGTCAAACCACCTTTTCCAAGGGACCTATATGGGGAATATGAGAGAGTGGGTCCAGGAGAACCAGGCGAATTATCAAAGGACAAGTATGAGCCTCAGAGTCGGGTTGGGGACTTCCAGAGATCCTGCCTGGAGGTCCCCCCTGGCTCATAAATTGATGTATATATGATTAACTATGATACCCTTCCCAGGGGGAAGGGGGCCCCGCCAGTGGCTGAGTGGCTAAGGTGATGGACTGGAGACCCAGCTGGTGCAGGTTCGATTCCTGCCTGGGTCATGGGCGTCATTGGGCTCATGATGCCTCCTGGTTATATACATGAGCTGGGGCTCCCCTGCATGAACTGGGGGTCCCCCTGGAGGTGTGGTACCCCAGCTTGAGGCCTCATTCCCGGGTTCTTCTGGACCCACTCTCTCTCCCGGGACCTCCAGTAGTACCAGAGGGATATATGGGGAATATAGGGCCTACAAAGCCCCAGGTAATAGGGGCCCCGCCCGTGGTGTAGTGGCTAAGGTGATGGACCGGAGATCCAGTGGCGTGGGTTCGATTCCTGCCCGGGGACCATGCGTCTCTCCTCCAGGGGGGTCCAGGGGGGTCCAGGGAGGTCCAGCGGGTTTGGGGCCTCATTCCTGGGGTTGGGACCTCCAGGGACCCTGCTGGTCCTGGAGCTCTGGGACCCCAGTTTGAGGCCTCAGAAGTCGGGTTGGAGACTTCCAGACATAACCCCTGGTTCCTACATTGACCACAAAGGGCCTATAAAGCGCGGGCCCCCGCTCGACCCCGCCCGTGGTCGAGTGGTTAAGGTGATGGACTGCAGCGCCAGCACCGCAGGTTCAAATCCCGCCCCGGTCATGGTCGTCATTAACCCAGGTTCGATGCCTCCTTCCCTGGGTAGATACGTCCAGTGACATACCCCCTGGTCCTGGAGCTCTGGGACCCCAGTTTGAGGCCTCAGAAGTCGGGTTGGAGACTTCCAGACATAACCCCTGTTTCCTACATTGACCACAAAGGGCCTATAAAGCGCGGGCCCCCGCTCGACCCCGCCCGTGGTCGAGTGGTTAAGGTGATGGACTGCAGCGCCAGCACCGCAGGTTCAAATCCCGCCCCGGTCATGGTCGTCATTAACCCAGGTTCGATGCCTCCTTCCCTGGGTAGATACGTCCAGTGACATACCCCCTGGTCCTGGAGCTCTGGGACCCCAGTTTGAGGCCTCAGAAGTCGGGTTGGAGACTTCCAGACATAACCCCTGTTTCCTACATTGACCACAAAGGGCCGACAAAGACCCGGTTAATAGGGGCCCCGCCCGTGGTGTAGTGGCTAAGGTGATGGACCGGAGATCCAGTGGCGTGGGTTCGATTCCTGCCCGGGGACCATGCGTCTCTCCTCCAGGGGGGTCCAGGGGGGTCCAGGGAGGTCCAGCGGGTTTGGGGCCTCATTCCTGGGGTTGGGACCTCCAGGGACCCTGCTGGTCCTGGAGCTCTGGGACCCCAGTTTGAGGCCTCAGAAGTCGGGTTGGAGACTTCCAGACATAACCCCTGGTTATAGGGGGCCCGCCCGTGGTGTAGTGGCTAAGGTGATGGACCGTAGATTCAGCGGTGTGGGTTCGATTCCTGCCCGGGGACGATGCCTCCTTCCCTGGGTAGATACGTCCAGGGACCCCCGCTGGATGAGAACCAGGGGGCACGGAGCTCTGAGCCGTACCCCAGAACCAGGCTCTCCCCTCGAACATGTGTACCCACTATTAAGCCCCCCTCCTCGGACTAAACCCCTCCAGGCGGCCCGGTAAAAACTAAGTGTGCCTGGTACTACGTTCAGAAGTTGATGTGTCTGGTACTACAACTCAAACACTTAGAAAAAATTCAACATGTGAAACACTTAGTCACATTTGTAACACTTAGAAAAAATTCAACATGTGAAACACTTAGTCACATTTGTAACACTTAGTCACATTTCAAACACTTAGTCACATTTCAAACACTTAGAAAAAATCTGACCTTTTTTTCAGCCCGGGACTCCCGGGCTGAAACCCCCGGGCTCACGCTGCGTCCCAAAAAGGTGAGGTCAAACCACCTTTTCCAAGGGACCTATATGGGGAATATGGAGAGAGGTGTGATCCAGGAGAACCAGGCGAATTACCATGGGCCTGCCAGTGATCCTACTCTCAAACGATCGAAATCTGCCTCTTGTGGAGACGAATCCGTGAAGCCGTGAAGACGAGGCCCTTGTAAGGGCCGTGAAGACGAGGCCCTTGTAAGGGCCGTGAAGGCCATAGTCGACAAGTACCATAAGGGAACTGGGTGTCATTAACCCAGGTTGGAGGCCTCCTTCCCTGGCTAAATACCTCCAGTGACACGCCCCTGGTCCTGGAGGTCTGGGATCCCAGTTGGAGGCCTCCTTCCCAGGTTGGAGGCCTCCTTCCCTGGTTAAATACCTCCAGTGACACCCCCCTGGTCCTGGAGGTCTGGGATCCCAGTTGGAGGCCTCCTTCCCGGGTTGGGGTTAGATAGTCCTAGGCAAACACTTAAACACTTAGAAAAAATTCAATACAAGTCTCAGCCCGGGAGTCCCGGGCTGAAACCCCCGGGCTCACGCTGCTGCCCAAAAAGGTGAGGTCAAACCAGGTTGTCCAAGGGACCTATATGGGGAATATAGGGAGCGGGTGGTCCAGGACAACCCGTGGTGCACTTTGGCTGCCGCGGGGCCTCGGGCTTTCGTTATCATCCTCATCGCTTGGGGAAGATTTCGATCGTTTGTCAATGGGTCTCTGGGTTACCCTCCGGACCCTCTGCCTCATCTCCCCTGGAGGCAGATGCGGGCGCTCCTTCACTCACTTCTCCGCTGGAGGCAGATTGTGACCGTTTGAGAAGCTGCGAGGGCTCCTTTCACAGCCCCTCCCAACTCTTCCTCGTCTCCGCTGGGGGCAGATTTCGACCGTTTGAGAGGATGATCACTGGGGATGATCACTTTTTCTTTTTTTGGGCTGCTTCACGATCAGTGGGACCCCAGTTTGAGGCCTCATTCCCGAGTTCTTCTGGATCCACTCTCTCTCTCCCGGGACCTCCAGTAGTACCAGGGGCCTATATGGGGAATATAGGGCCTACAAAGCCCCAGACCTCCGGGGACCTCCAGTGACACCCCATGGTCCCTGGAGGTCTCCAGTTCGGGTTTGAGGCCTCACTCCTGGGTAAGGTACCTCCATAATTTCCCTGGAAGACCTGTATCACAGGGCCCCGCCAGTAGTCCTGTGGTTAAGGTGACTGACCAGAGATCCGAGGGTTGGTGGATCGAAACCCAGGCCTCACGGTACTTGTCGACTATGACTACTATCCGGGGTCTTCCTCGAAGGTCTTGATGGTCTCCACAATGTCATCCTCATCTACACTTGTGGCGGGTTTCGATCGTTTGATAGGACGGTCACTGGGGGGCCACCTTTTTCGCTTTTTGGGCTGCTTCATGAGGCCTCATTCCTGGGTTGAGACCTCCGGGGACCTCCAGTGACACCCCATGGTCCCTGGAGGTCTCCAGGCCGGGCTTGGGGCCTCATTCATGGGGTTGGGATAATCTCAGAGACCCCCCCCTGGTTCTGAGACCGGTGACACTTAGAAAAAAAAATGGATATCAACTGGTTCTGGGACCGGTCCTCCCGGAGGTCCCAGAGCCCAGCAAGGGGCCTGAATCCCGGCTTGGGATACTCAGAGAGACCTCCCTCTTGTCCTGGGACAAGGGGGTGTGCCTGGTACTACAAGTCAAACACTTAGAAAAAAATTCAATAAGTGAAACACTTAGAAAAA